ACCCTTTCCCAAAAATGCACAACATTTTCGTTCAATGGCCTTACTAACCTGATATGGAAGGACAAATATACAACTCCGGTAATTTTGAATACTGAATATGACATAGGATATAAGCTGAAATCTCCTAGCAAAAGAACGCATTTTGGAAGCCCCATACTCCATATATACTTTCCAACCATTGATTTTGATGAAGATGAAAATTGCTGTAGACGTTGAGTTGCGCGGTCATATTTTACGTATTTGATTATACATTTGTTAGTAGGTCCAAGAAACTGACTCTTGTCCATTTTAGTTAATCGTTAGTTAAGAAGACATGTTAATCGATTGGTAAAACTAACAATAGAACATGGTTTATGTGAGATGTAGATCTTAAAAGAAGTGCTGAAAAGTTGACTGTTCTTACTGCATCTTTGCTATCCTATAATCGACACTCCATAATGCAATGAGGATTATATGAAACAAATTTGTAATGAATGATTAAAACATTAAAAGTAATCATGTAAAGACCTAATTGTTAAAAAAAATAACAACAACAACAAAACCAACTAGGATTAAATTTTATTTGTCAAGAAATACGAGAACCAAAACATTCCAAATGAGGGTTTATTAGTTAAGAAATAAAAAAAATAACAATAAAATAAAATTTTCAAAACTATAGAGACTAAAATGAAATTTTGTTGGAAACCCAAGTGACCTTGCTGAAAATTCTTACAACAAAAAATTATAATAAATATTTTAACTCAAACTATATTACATCACACACAAGAAAATACCAAGCATGTTGTTACTTAATTCCTTTTTTCTAATTGATTTCATTACAAAATGTGAGTAGAAAATTGTGATAGATAAAATGTATATTAGTTTTTATTTTTTATAAATACAGTTAGGGTTTGTAAATATTATCCGAATTAGTAATTCAATATTATTGAATATGAAAATTAAATAGTTCTATTTATATCAAATACAATGTGACCAGGAAACATACTAGAAAATCCTATAAAATGATAGGCTACTATTTTTTTTCATGCAAATATATTAAGGCAAAGTGGACATTTGAAACTTCCGATAGAGTACATTACTGCTACCAAACAATAGACACCTAAAGAAAACCAAAACCCAAGAATCACAAGGATAACGAATACTCGTGATCTTCACCAGGTAAACAAGTTGGTGCCACTTTTTTTTTTTAATAATAAAGTAGTAGGTCTACCTTAAAAATTTTGAAGTGGATTCATGAAGAACTCTGCATAAAAAGACAAGGAAAAAAAGAAGAAGAAAGAGCACTTGCATATGTTATTTCGAATGCGATTCGCTCCGATTTCATAATGATAAACAATCAGAGATCGAACGGAGCCCACCACTATCACGAGGGAAAATTTTTGATGCCTTCCACCCACCCGCAAGACCAATTTAGCATTTTATACTTCGTACCTCTTATTCGCACAAATTCGGGTTATATTAAGTATCGGTTGTAAAAGATAATTTGTCGTTAGAGGATATATATATTGGGCAAATAACATAACGCCAAAGCGCAATAGCATTGTAAATGGAAAAAAAAAATGAGAGAGAGAGATCAGCATTATCTCCTCATAAACGCAAGCATCAATGAATAGTTTTGCAATTATGAACCTCAAGATAAATACCCACCCTTAAGAATATCACACAACCTCAGGTCCCATGGATCTAGCACTCATGAGCGGAGTTGATTGATCAGTCCTAACTAATCTGCCTTATCAATAATTGGCATGGACTCCACAAGTTAAAAACAACCGTTTCCACTGCTGAATGTGCACCTAGCGTTAGTAAGATGCGTGACATTGAAGTGTGAGCATTTTTCTAGAAATGCAAGAAACGTACTTATTTTTAGGAAACACTTAGTATTTTTATGAAAAGGGCTGAAAATTAATTAGCATTAATGCAAGCATTCTATAACAAGGTAAAGAAAATCATTTGCAAATCAACTTATCATAGTAATTTCGTTATATATAAATTGATATGTCAATCTATGAGTATTAGTAGTGGTAAATTATGAATCTCATAAATTTTAAATAATTGAATTCTCTTTAAACAGAATTACTACGTGTGTTTATATGAAAATTTTATTCAATGATATTTTCATTTGGACTACTTAAGAAGAAGAAAAAAATGATGGGAAATAATAAACAAAGAAGGTAAACAATGCATGTTGTATCCCAATTATCTAGCTAGACTACATAAAAAATGCTAATTACTAATCAATAAGACAACAAATGAAGGATTTAGCCAACAGATGTGGGTTAATTAATTAGTCAGTACTCCTACAATAAGGGCCCTTTCTAACGTTGTTTTATATATCCATGATTAACCCCCGTCGGTCATCCCCCGTCGGTCATCATCAATTAGCAACTCAAATTTCTACCACAAAGAGAGTTGGTTTAGTTCAATTATTCAATCTCGTTGAAATCTCACCAATTTACTGCACATGAACTTACTGTTTCTAGACCATTTGACCTTGGGAGATGTTCATAACTTTTGTCAAATTGCCCGGTGGTCGGCATTGAAAGGCAATTCGGTGCAGAAACGACAGTTGTAAAGTGACTGACATAATTAAGGTTTACCCATTTATTATGACAATAAAAGGGATTGCTGAGCCGTGTTAGACCTTGGCATCCTATTGGAGCAAAGTGAATTAGCTTCGCTGCTATCCTTTTTCCACACAATTCAAACCACTTAATGGATCCAGCTAGTAGCAGCCTCTAATTTAATCCTGTGTGGCCATTGGTTTCGCTTTCCTTTTTTTTTTTTTTCCTGATAACTGGTTTCAGATTTGCTTGAATTAATAACAAGATTTGGATTCATTAAGTAGGCAAAATTTTAATAAAAAGCCCGTGTACTGGTACAACTTTGGATTCCCCTGAGGTGTCAATCAATGCTTATCCGTTAAACTGATTAAATGACTAGTTTGCCATTCATATATTGTTAAATTACCGATGTGTTTAATACTTTAAAAACAAAAAGGTTTGTGAACAGTAAATCCCCTAATAACCCCGAGTCGCCGCAAATTACTGACTTCAAAACATGCAAGTATACAAAGTTTAGTGTTTTGTACTTGTGTATCTAATAAAAATTTTTAAGTGAAGTATGATTTATTCAGTTGTTATGCAATAAAAGAGAATTATCCCTCCTGTATAATTCAAGATCTAACGAACCTTCTTATATATATATAGAAAATAAAGTAAGACTAGAGTTTTTACTATCTCTACCAATGCAGATTGGATAAAATATATAAAATTATTTGAAAAAATCATTTCTATTTGATAATCTATTTTATGACGTGAATCTATAAAAATATATGAAATCAAATATGAAAAAAATTAATTTTTTAATAAAAAATTTTGTATTTAACTATTTCTTATTTGTATTTTTCATAATTTTTTCTTTAGAAAAAGGATTCATCCTTGTTAATCCATGGATTATTAACTAAAAAGAAAATTAAATAAATTTTTTTAAAAAAAACTTTAGTATTTCATAAGATTGTGTCGAAAAACAAAAATAACAATTATTAAAAGCTTACATAGAATTGAACAAATATATATTTTTTTATTTCATGTTGATGAGAATATCGACTTTTGAAAAAATATATATGAATTTAATTTTTATATATTTATTTACAAAAGAATGAATAATATTAAAATAAATTAAAGATGTTAGTAAATATAATTTTAAATTAATTGGATGAGAATTTAAAAAATGATAAATTAAAGTAGTAAATTTGAAATAATAAAAATAATTAACAAAAAACACTAAAACAAAACGAGCCAAATCACAATACAATTAAAGTTTGAAATTAAAAAATATATATAGAAAAATCGAGAATCGTATAATTTTAAAGTAATTAGATGAGAATTTAAAAAAAGATGAAAAATTAAAATAATAAAATTTTATTAATAAAAATAATTAAAAAAACACTAAACTAAAATGAAATTGAATCACAATATAATTAAAGCTTAAAATTTAAAAAAAAATTATAAAAAAATTGAGGACCAAAATGTTATAAAAACGATATGAATAGGAAATATATATTACAAGGGAAAAAAAAGGGGCGGATGCTGGTTGATATATATATATATATAGCCACCAATGAATTAACAGAGGAATTGATGACCATCAACTAATCTTGTTATTATTTTTGGGAAAGGTTGACCGGGGGAGTGGGATATTAACTAGCTAGCAGGAAGCTACACCACCTCCAGTCAGGTTCTTTTTTTTACCTTTCTTTCTTTCTTTTTTTCAGTCTAGAAAATTAAAAAAAGAAAATGTAAAGTTCACAAATTCTTGGGTACTATGTTTCTAGAGTCACACGTGAAAATTCAGTTAGCAAGACAAAAAAAATATACAAAAAAAATAAGTAAATAAATAAAATAAGGTCAGACATCTCTGCAGCCAGGACAGGCCGATGCCAGGCCTTGGCTGAGTTCAACCCAGAAGGAATAACAGTTAAGCGTTTGAGAGTTAAAAAAAAAAAAAAAAATTAGAAAAACACTGCTCATTAAATAGTGAAAAAACAGTAAAATGTATAGTAAAATGATTTCTGTTTTAGAGTATTAGTAATTAAATGTTAAATTAAGTGACAAGTTAGAAGACTTTAGAGACGGAAGATTCTCGGAGGCAGTGGCCAGCCATATCTTACCAGGAACGCTTAGCATGCATTAACTCTTTGGATCAGATCAAAATCAAAAGTCAGCTCCTTCGGGACCCTGCCTCCCCTTGACTACATTGTACCATTAGCTCAGTCCCTCACAGTAATACTAGGTCTTTGCCGCCTAATAAGTCAATCCCACGCGCCCCCTTAAATTTTATAAACAATTTGCATGCCCCATCATCTTCCAGCTGCACCCCCATCCCCCTTTCCTCGCCTACTATAAATATCTTCTGCACCCGAACTCTCTCTCCATCCAAAACATTTCCTAACCGAGAAAATTGAAATTAAACCCAAACAAGCACACAAGACAAAACCCTTCATGGCTTCCGTTTTCCATCTCGTTATTTTCACTTCACTTCTTGCACTCTTCTCTCTACCTGTTCCTGCCCTAGCCACAACAAGAAAGCTTGCTGCTTTAGTTCAAGAACAACCTCTTGTCCTCAAGTACCACAATGGTCCACTTCTCAAAGGCAACACCGCAGTGAATATCGTCTGGTATGGCAAGTTCTCACCAATCCAACGCTCCATAATCGTTGACTTCCTCGGCTCTCTTAATTCTATAAAGACTCCAGCACCTTCAGTCTCTACGTGGTGGCAAACTACTGGGAGGTACAGAGGAGGTCCGTGCACTGTAGTTGTAGGTAAACAAGTCCTTGAAGAAAATTACTCTTTGGGAAAGTTACTAAAAACTACGCAAATTATTACTTTAGCATCAAAAGCTGGCCACGGTAAGAATGCAATCAACCTTGTTTTCACATCTGCTGACGTGGCGATGGATGGGTTCTGCACTAGCAAGTGTGGGACCCATGGGTCTGGTCAGGGAAAGATGGGTGAATTTGCCTATGCGTGGGTTGGTAACTCCGTGACTCAGTGTCCAGGTCAGTGCTCGTGGCCTTTCCACCAGCCAATTTACGGACCACAGGGTCCACCGCTAGTCGCTCCTAACGGTGACGTAGGGATTGACGGCATGATCATCAATTTGGCCACGGTTTTAGCGGGAGCAGTAACGAATCCGTTTAATAGCGGATATTTCCAAGGGCCAGCTAACGCGCCTCTAGAGGCTGTAAGCGCGTGTACGGGTATTTTTGCTCAGGGTTCTTACCCGGGAAATCCAGGGGAGGTTTTGGTGGACAAAACAACAGGAGCTAGCTATAATGCTTTTGGTATTAATGGCCGGAAGTATTTGCTCCCAGCAATGTGGGACCCAAATACATCCACCTGTAAAACACTGGTGTGAGCAGAATTGTAGAAATTTGCATGCATGTATAATTTATGTAGATATGGAGGGGTGCTTAAAAGAGAAAAGTAAATAGTCTCTTATAGGTTTGAAGGTTATCATTTGCTTTTTGGTGATGTTTAAAGATTGCTTTATCTCTCAATAAAGGTTCTTTATCTGTTTAAAATTGTGGTTTTGATCGCAATCGTAGATATCGATGCAAGTCGCCACATTTATGTCTCGTCTAAAATATTTAGATCTCAATTGAGTTTGCATAAATTAAATAATATAATTAATATGAATTTGATATCAATATAAGTTAATTAGTATGGAACTATTAATTAAGAAAAACCGATAACAACTCAGTGATAATATTTGTTGTCGCTAGGTAACTAACTTTATGTGCAAGTGCAACATACTCTATTGTTCATAAAATGGGCTGACATAACATAAAAGCTGAAATTCCCTTATCTAATGATAGTAGATACATTATTATAACAGTCCATTTTAAAAACCCGGTTATTGTAGAAATATAAATATTTTTATCTTTTTTAGGGGATTCATATGTGATTTTATTTTTTCTTTTTGTATGTGGTTTTTTCCTTCTAGTAAACTCATAGATTAATTATCAAACATTCAAACTCATAAAAAATGATATAAATATTTTCAACTAGACTCCTTTTTTTTTAAATTCTCTTGTTTTTATTTATCTCTTCTATTTATTTTTATTTTTTATATCAAATAAGTATTGATAATTATTATTTAAATATTTTAAAATGTCTCTTGAGGGAAGGTTGTAATTTAAAAGATTTATTTATACTAGTTTCTTTCAAGCCACTTTTTTTTTAATTTAATCATAAATAAGGCTATAGCTAACGGCATATGAGACGTACAACAACTTCGAATTTGTGTAGGTTTATAAATAACTTTTTAAGTTTTTAGGGTCTCTGTTAAAAAAAAAAAAAAAAGTTTCTCAAGCCCTTCCAAACTGGGCGTTCTACTTCTAACGGACTTTTTCGCTCAAGTATGAATATTGGGCTGGTTTAATGGTTATATATGTTTGTTTGTTTGTTTTTTAAATCAATCTTTTAAGTTTGAAATTTGACCTTATTTTTTAAAAGAGTTTATTTTTTTGAATGCATCAATCTATATAAAATTATATTTAAAAAAATCTTTGAAGATGAAATTTAAGTTCTTTTGATATATAAACTGTTTACAAATACTTTTTTTTTAAAAATCAAATATGGAAATAAGGTCCAGCAATCTTAATTGGAGTCAAAATTTAAACACAACCTTTCGCGAGTGTAAATACAAAAGAAAAAAGAAAAAAAGAGATATATGGTTGTGATTGAGTAAATTATAAATAGTCTCTTTAATTTTTGAAACATAAATAAACAATCCTTTTAATTTTCATAATTAATTAATCATTATGTTTTAAATCAATCTATAACTTAATTCTTTTCATTATTTAAATTTTTTTTAATATACAGAAAAAAATTAGTAAAAATATAGAAAGATTGATGATAAAAAAAATATTTTTTGGATAAAATACTATTAAATTAACCATAGTAAAAAATAGTAGAAATAATTAATTAGTTTTTTAAACAATAAGAATTATTAAATCCATTTTGTAAAATCAGAGGAACTAATTTATAATTACAAATACTCTAAAACCCAAGTATATTTTATTATTCATGTTCACTGTTCCTTTTACTGTTCAATGAACAGTATTTTTCCAGCTAGCTTTTTTGCTTTTTTAACCTCCTGCTTTTTTTAACCTCTAAAACAGTAAAGTGTTAACTCTTTTTTCCCCTCTGTCGACCTTTCTTCAACATTTTACAAGCAATATTTTTTTTTTTAAGTGGTTTGGTTTCACTGTTCTGTAGCAAGTATTTTTTTTTTTTAGTTTACTTACACCATACATATTTTCCCCCTTTGCCTTTTTTTTTAAAAAAAAATCATTTTAGTTATTTATTTATTTTTTATAAAATTTTTAGGTTTATTTTATTTTGATCTCTAAAATTTAAAAATAAAAATTTTAATCCCCTAACTGATGCACTATACACAGTTTTTTCTTTTGTTTTTTTCATCAATTTATGTTATTTTTTAAATTTAGTTAGGTGTTAAAATTTTAAAAAATCAATTGTTATTTTTTTTACACAAATTGACTATATATATATATATTTTTACTTAGGTGTTCTTTTTATAATTTTCATAAATTCATGTTTTTTTTATTTAATTAGGTGTTCTATCTATCCGTAGTGTTATGTAAATAATTTCAAAAATTAATCTTTTCCTCAATATTAAATAAGATTTTTTTCTCATATGTTAATTTTTATAAAAGTTTATCCATTAATTATAACTTTATTTTTTGAAATGCAATATTATGAAAATTATATTTAAATTTTTTTTAATTCTTGATTAATATTTTAGTTAAAATTATTATATTTTTTATTTTAAAATAAATCTATAAAGACGAATGATTTATGTTTTTGAAGTAGAAAATTTATAAAAAAAAATTACAAAAATTAAATGAATAAAAAATTATAATTAAAATATTTTTAAATATATATTTTTACCCAACCTATCGCGTAGCGCGGAAAAAATGACTGGTTTACTCTATTACGAATCAACCGAAATCCCAACCCTTTTTACAGCATAACAATAAAAAACACACGCACACATTTCTGTGAGCCCTTAAAGCCATAATGGTGATGGATTTCTCTTAAGAGCCCACGTCCGTGGGCTAACTAAAGTTATATTGTGTTTTGAACCCACTGGACGTTAATTTCAGGTTAGTCCCAATTATGCAGCTCAAGAACTCTCACATCTCCGTATAAGAAGCCTCCGCTGAGCTGCTTTCGGAAAGTTTTCTTTCCTTCCTCTCCCCAGACCCATATCCCCTCCTCCACTCTTCTTCACCAAAGAACCACCAAAATGGAAAAACCCCAAGAACACAACCACAACCACGAGGACCCTCCAATATCATCCACAACTCCATATCCACCTACCTGCACCTCCTCTACCTGTGTTAAATGCGGCGGCCCAACTTCCTTCCCTCCACCACCCACTCGATCCCCATGGTCCGAAATTTCGCCTCCCCCAAACTACCGCCCTATCCGTTCTCCGGCTATAAATGTCCCACCAAATACAAATTCCCAGGCCATAATGCTCGCTCCAGTCCCGCAATCCCAAAAAATCTCCACTATTTCCCTTCCTCACACCTTCCAATCCCCCTCCAAAAAAATTCAATCCCCTGATGACATTCGCCAATTCGTCAACTCCGATTCCTCTAAAAACTTCCTTGGCTTCATCGTCGCTCTCTCAGAATCTATACGGTCCCAGAAAATCTCTGATTCCTGTCACGAATCCACAACTCTGAAAAAGATTTTGTCCATTATCAAAACCCTAATTCAGTGGATCGAAGAAATCCCTCCTGTTCAACAATCTGCACGATACGGTAACATCTCTTACCGTACCTGGCATAACCGTTTGGTAGAAAATAGTGAGAATTTAATGCTTCAGTTTTTGCCCGATCATTTAAGATCTTCGATGGTCGAGATTGTTCCTTATTTTACTGATAGTTTTGGTAATTCGAGCCGGATTGATTACGGTACTGGACATGAAACTAATTTCGCCGCATGGCTTTATTGTTTGGCAAGGATGGGGATAGTAGAGGAAGTTGATTACCAAGCTATAGTTTCTAGGGTGTTTGTTAAGTATATTGAATTGATGAGGAAATTGCAATTGGTTTATAATCTGGAGCCTGCGGGTTCGCATGGTGTTTGGGGGCTTGATGATTATCATTTCTTGCCGTTTATATTTGGATCATCACAGTTGATTGATCACAAGTATATGAAGCCTAAGTCTATTCATAACGAGGATATTTTGGAGAATTTTTCAAATGAGTATATGTATCTTTCGTGTATTGTGTTTATTAAGAAGGTAAAGAAAGGGTTGTTTGCTGAGCACTCGCCTTTGCTGGATGATATCAGTGGAGTGCCTAATTGGAACAAGGTGAATAGCGGGTTGCTTAAGATGTATAGAGCGGAAGTGTTGGAGAAAGTGCCTATCATGCAGCATTTTCTGTTTGGGTCGCTTATTAAGTGGTAAGGGCTTTTTTCTCTTCCATGACTAAATAGTGCATTGGTTATTTCATTTTATTTTTGCTTCGCTTTGGTGGGAATTAGGGATTTTCTTAATGCAGTGTTGTTAAAGTTAGAGAAAACTGCAGTTTGAGCGTCCAACGTGTCTATCTATTTATGTGTCCAAGCTTTGATTTTTTTTCTATTTTGAGTTTTCTCGGTCACCTAAAACTGCTGAAATTGAAAAATGCTATTGTGTTCAGAATGAACTGTCACATGACATTTTTCAGCAAAAAGTGGGTTTCTCTTAGATTTATCCAAGAAAAAAAGAAAATAATTAGAAAAGGAATGAGAAGAAAGAAAAGAGAAAAAAAAACTTGGAATAAATTAAAGAAAAAGAAAAAAACCCAACTGGTATTAGGAACAGTCCACAGGAAATGGAAGCAACGGCCTTTGGTTTTGATTTTCTCTCAAAGAAACCAATTGTATTTCCCTTTCAACTAGCTAACCCTGGAAAACCCACATTGGCTGCCTCCCCTTTTATACCCAACCTTTGATAAACTAAGCCAAAATCGTTTGATTTTTTTCTTCTTCTTTATTTGTAGAAAATATAGATTGTAGTACCTTGCCCAAATCGTATTAGGAACAGCCCACTGGAAATGGAAGCAATGGCCCTTGGTTTTGATTTTCTCTCAAAGAAACCAATTGTATTTCTCTTTCAACTAAATAACCCTAGAAAACCACATTGTCTACCCCCTTTTATACCCATCCTTTGATAAACTAAAACAAAAGCAAAAATAAGTGAATCCGTCACATTCAAGGTGAATGACACACTTGAAACCCCACCTTTCGAATCAAATAAAACCAATTAAAACCCATAAACAAAATAAAATCGTTTGATTATTTTTTCCTAATTGTTTGAAAATATAGATTATAGTACCTTGCAAGCAGTCACAGCTCTCGGCTTCCTTTCTAAAAACATCGAGGACAGAATCAATGAGTTCAGCGCTGTCCGTTTTCACGACCTTCAACCCAGTTGTTTCCAGCAACAGATTGGCTGAAAACGAAGTTGTTAGGTCTGAAGATCTGATCATAAGTGACATATCTAACGCTGTCCATGCTTCTGGACTCTAAATCCATGAGGACAGCACGGGGGACGAATCTACTGCATCTAGCTTCATTGTAATAGAAATTGATTCTTTCAAGAGAGGGGAGTCACCTTAGTAATGGTCGGTGGAGTCTATGTTGTGTTCTGCATAGACAACTTCCTAGAACTTGGCCCTGTTTTGTTGTCGCATTGCCCACCTTGAAAGTGAAGGATCTCATGGGTTTTTTTTTTCTTTTTTTTTTTTTGGTTTTTAAGAAAATGAAAATAAATCCAAGTAGGACTCATTTTTTACCACGTTTTAGTCATTTCAGACGCATCAACATTTTCTTTTCTCAGGTGATTTAGAGAACTGAAAAGAAAATTAAAAAATTAAAAATTAAACCTTGGGCACTTAAATAGATAGAATTAAAGGTTGGACACTCAAATTGCATGAAAAATAGAAATAGAGAGCAATGCAGATTTTTACTTGGCACATAAGCTGATTTTATGATTGGCTATCTCATTATATGCATGGTGATTGTTTCTCAGGTTGCAACGGCAAGATTGATAGCTTTATCTTCAATATATAGTTCTTCTTTTCAAAGAATTCTTGTTGATGTCCTCGCAAGTAGTTGTTTGTGGCCTTTGCTTTCACTTCCGATTCTTATCCTCTATGATTTTGTATGTTGTACATAATGTTACTTTTCTTATCAGAATCTGTATACTAGTATAGAGGAGGTTGATTGCTTCAACGAAGGTTTTTACTTGTGTGTGATGAGATATTGGTTTGAAAAAACTGTCTGCAAGAAATCTAACTTTTCATATCCAATTAAACCATCCAGCTTGCGAGTCTTAAAGGACGAGCAGCACTTCCTACCGCCTTAGCCTGATTTCAAGTACACAGGTCTCCAGTCTGAATTATATTATCTTGCTCCACATGTTTGCTTCTTTAAGAACTTTTGATCTGTTTCTCAAGTTTAGAAAGCATACTTTGTTTTTGTCAGATTTTTCCTTCCATCTTTCCCTCAACTTTTCTGGGGCAAGCTATTGGGAAACAATTTCATAGTATCAAGGTTTAGGGAGTTATGCTGAAAACAATTTGGATTCTGGCTTATTATTGAAGTAGATGATGTGAAAATATTGCGATTTCATGTGAGGAAAATAATGTTTAGAAATAAAAGATTTTGCTGAGCGGTGAGCTTCCCCTTTGAATGAAGATGCATCGGAACTCATCAATTTTAAACATGATTTGGTTCTATCTAGTTGTCTAACTATTGCCTTTAGTAGGTGTTAGGACTAACTTGGCTTATTGTTAAGTGTCTTGCATTTGATTGCGATTGTGTTGTTTTGGTATTTTTCTACTTGGAATGTTTTTAGACTTTTTTCCTGATAGATTCCACTTCACTTCTTGATTGTGAGAAATTGTGTGGAGGATACCGGCTTCATTTTTGCTACAGTGGTCTGATTTCAGCAGCCTTATTGTGGGGCAATAAAGAGCCAAGGTTTGGCTGATATCCTCTGTGCTTCCCATGGAAAATTTTACAAACATATTGGCAAGGCATGGACAAGTTGCTTCAAATTTAGCACCACGGTAAGTGGTGCAAGAACTTTGATGGTTTGCTAACTTGGTTGTGGCATGCTCAGTGTTGTCCTCTTCATTCAAGATAGTGTCAAAATATACTTCTTCTCCTCTTCCTTCCCAAACTACCCCACTATTGACGCCTTCAATAGCATAGGTGATTTAAAGCTCAGATACCTAGCTTTTTCACTATTCTCTAAATATTTCCTTTTTCTTCATTCAATGTAAGCTCTTGTTTGAAATTGGTACTATGCCAAATGACTTTATCAACTTATCAAGCTGGCAATCGCTTATCCTTGCATGATGCAGCTCTATAAACATCACTTTAAGTAAAGTGATACATAGTGTAACACAAGGCAGACTATGTTGCCTCTGTCGGAAATTTGTTGCCATCAGTTGACAATAGTAGGTTAGTTTGTTAAGAATCTAATACACCATTGGTTGGGATTTTGATTTGTTTAGTGACCACCATTATTCTTTTATAATTTAGTTGTTCTAAGCTTACCGAGTTTTGCAAGTTGAGACTATGTGCAACTTTTTGCCAATTATTGCCAGGTTCATCTTGGCGTCACCATTTTATTCTTATCATTTCCTTAAATTGATTTCATAAAGATATTACCTTATTCTTGGAGACTGCTTGCTTCATACGCATGCTCGTAGAAAAAACAATATGGTACCAATGTTACTCAAAACTCATTGGGTTCAATGATATTAATTAGTTCACTCAATATGTCACCAATGTTACTCAAAACTTGGAATCAGAAGTTATAGTTATTTTAGCGCATAGGTATGTGATTGTATGTTATTGTTTTCTTTATGATTAAAAGAAATCTTGGTTTTTTATTTTTTCAATTATTATTTTGGTCATTGCATTGCCAATTCTGACTTGGAAAGTATTTATGTAGTCTTTAATTACCTCGCTCGATTGAGAAATTTTGAATGCTATACGATTCCAAAGCTGGCTTATGATCTGTAATTGTAGCTTATTCTTTCATGAGAAAGCTTACCATTGATCTAAATATATTCGTTTTAAATTTAGTGATTAGTTCTTTTTTCCTTCTTCTTTCAGGGAGTAGTGCGATTTATCAGCTCTATCAGAACAGATGCTATGGAACCAAGAGGGTGAATTTTCCACAGGGTTTCACCTTGAGTTACTGCAATAGACAATTTAACAGAGTGGAAGATCCTACTGTGAATTATTGAGTTATTTCTCTCTCTGTTTTTCCCCCTTTTCCTACTGCTGTCCTAAATTGACCATGAGATGCTATCCGTTTGTTTTGCAACTTATGTGATGGTAGTTCAATAATTGTGTGTTGAATGGCAGAGGGATGAAAGTTCAGGTTTCTATGATTGTGGGCGAATGACTTGTAAGGCCTAATGATTTTCCCTCCATTGCTGGATTGTATTGATGTGGTAGTTGCTATGGAGTGCTATACCAAATATAAAGTTCGGATTTCCATAACCATGACATGAAATTCGTTTAAATGTGGAACTGTGTATAAATATTCATCATTTATTTTGGTACCATTTTAACTCGATAGTGGGATTTTGACAGAGAGAGAGGGCAGTTTTTGGACAGCCAATGTGGGTGTTCTTTGAAAGATGAAAGGGCTGTCTATATTTAGGGATGGCAATCGGTCGGGTACCTAGCCTATTAAGCTAATTTTTTATCCTACTTATTAAAAAATATTATATTCATTATCTGTTCATTTTATATCATATCGTATCTATTTTGTTCATGCTTATTTGCTCACTAATTTATTTCTTTACATTAAAGATATCTTTTTTTCAATTTTTTTATTGAATTTTTTTTTATAATTCTTTCTGTCTAGACTCTTTTTATATATTAAGATTTTTATTAGAATACATAATAACAATTATTATTTTTATTATCATAAATAAATATTTACCAAGTTGAATAATTATTATATATTTTTATTTTCTATAAACCAGTTTAAAATGAATGAGAAAGAAGGCAATTGGTTATATATATGAGAAATTTTATTTTGTTTATTTCTAAGTATTGTTGGCTCACCAAACCGACCATCAAATATTTAAGTCAAGTCATGTAAACATTGCGCATGTTGTTGAACCTATTCTGTGGCGTTTTATCAACCTCTCTTTTCTATGAAAGCCATACTTCTTGAATTATCTTGTTGTTTAACTGGTTGCATTTCTGAATGAAGTCCTGATCATGAATTGGACTCCTTGTTGATTTTTATTCCTCCATGTACAAACAGGGAGCTTTTCTATGGCAGATTGATACTTTAAAATATGCAAAAACAAAAATTGAGAAAATTTGTTCCTTCATGTTCATTTTGCTTCACTCTATTTACATGGCTTTTTTTTTTTGGATTATTTCTAGTTTTCGTTTTCAAATTCTTGAAAAAAAAAAACTGAGAAAATTTGTTTGTTTTAAATTTTTGTTCAGAAAATCAAAACCAACAACTAGTAGCTATTAAAAATGGTTCTTGAGAAATTTTGACAACCAAAAACAAAGGAACATATTTTTTTTCCTTTTCTTTTGCTTATTTTAAAATTTTATGTTTTAGTATTTTTATTTATGTTAATTGGTAAAATATGGGTATTAATAGACTAAAAAAAAGTATCCATATTCATGAATAAATTATTTATTAACATAAATAGATAATATTATTTTATTCATATTTAATTTATTATCCATTAGGGTATTTTAAAAGTATAATTAATGGATGAGCTGGATAGAATATCTATTTTGTACCCGACCCACTGTCATCTCTATCTATATTAGTCTTTTTCTTTCTTATAAATTAAAATTGAAGCCTTGGCTCTTCTCCGGACATGGACAACAATAGCTTCTTTTTTTTTTGGCCAATTGGTTTTTTTCGTGGCTACTTATTTCAATGGTATTTTGCAGTATCGGTTAAGTGGAAATTAGTACTGTAACTTTAATTTTTTTTCTAATCTAAGTATTATAACTATTTTTTTTTGTTTGTAATCAACTCAATCGATCTTGTTGACCAAAATTTAGATGCTTTTTTTACATGTATGTTGAGATGATTTAATAAATAAAAGATACATCGATTCTTTAATGGTGTTGTTTTTTATCTTATCAAATTGATTTTGTGAAATTACAAATTATTTCCTACTCTTAAATTAAAACAAAAGATTAGATTTTGAGAAAAAAATCATTTAATCAATCTTCTTATTTCCTTCCTCTCTCACAGTTTCTTTTCCTTCACACTCACCTCCCTACCTCCTCCTTTGCCACCTCCACGGTCACATTTGGCGTCACCTACACTGCACCATGACCGCCTTTTCTTTTCCGTATACTCTTTCGTTGCAGATCGCGTCCTCTATGTTCTCTCTTCCCTCGTATTTTGGACAAGTAATCGAGTCTTGTCTCTCTTAAATGAAACAGCGGTTATCTACAGCACCAGTATTAGGTTTAATTAGAGATGACATCAAATTGAATGAAATCCAAAATTTTAGGTTTCATCTATTGAAAGATTGAAGCTTTTTAGTGTTTGGTTGGAGAAAAAATGAAAGAAAAAAAGTTTTGAGTTGTTATTCGAAAGAGAAAAAATGGGAGGGGCTGGGATTCTATGAACGAGAGGGATAATTTAACAGTGGGATTTTTTTATTTGTATGGTTAGTTTTGGCGTTATAAACAAAAGCATAATTGAGTTTTTGTTTACTATTCATAGATAAAATGGAATATTTGCAAGGTTTTTCTTGCCCTAGTTTCTTGAATGCATGTTGCTTGATTTTCCCATCTCTTAAAGACTAGAAACAGAGGGTTTTTTTTTTTTTTTTAAAACTCAGACACCTAAAGCTTTTGTAAAACTAATTTATTTAGATTTTAATTCGTAACTTCTTATCGTAAGAAATCACTATTATTAGATTACAAGCTATTTAATATTAAAAATAAAGTTGGATACTTTATTTTATGGGTAAATCACATTAGTGATCTCTTGGATTTTTTCAATCATCTTGTCATCTCATGCTTTTCATATGTGTTCGAGTTTTAATAAATAGAATTGACTAACTTGATTACATATTAATAAATACTTGTGATATTCCAATTAAAAAATTCAAATTAGAATATCAATCTCTGTTTGATTTATAATACAGGATGTTATCGAATTAATTAGTTTTTTTTTTTTTTTTATCGCACAGGTTGAAAGGTTCCCTCCTTTGGTTCCGGAGGTACAATGATTGAGAGGGTTGACAGTGTCCATTGCAGGAGGGCAGGAATGCATGGCTGAAGGAATGGAACCCGAGTTCTTGATCCAGATGTAAAACAAATGCTCTCTCCTTTTAACCCCAAGCTACTGCCTGTAATTAAACAAGTGGAATAAAAAAGGACACCTCTCAACTGTGACCTTTCTCATCCTCCGGCTGGAAAGCACTTGCTGACTCGCTCTCTGCGCCCTGCATAACCTGAACAGACGCAACCTCTAAAAGATTCTTGCTTGTTTATTGAAATTACAAAAAACTAAACTAAAACTGTTGTTTATTTATTGTATTATTTAAAACACTGTTTATTTCAGATTTATTTGTATTATTTATTCATGTTTAGATGCATTATTACTTTTACTATATAATAGTATTTTTGTATTTTTAAAATATTTTTAAGATATCTATTATAAAAGATTTCATGATATTACATGTTGGTCTCTTTTTAAATATTATTTTTTTAATTCGTAAATATTTTTTATTTGATTTTGATCTTATTTTTTTGTTTTATTTTAATCACTTGGGTCTTTGTTTTTTCTCTGATTTTTTTAATTAAAAATTTTACGACAAAAAGATGTTTCGAAAAAAATAATTTACAAAATAAGGTTTTAGTTAAAAATGTGAATAAAGATAAATAAATAATATTTTTAATAAAAAATTATGAAAATATAAAGAATAATTAGTCAAATACAAAATTTTGATTAAAAAATAATAAAATTGAATAGATTTTTATTCTGTTTTGATTTGATATATTTTGATAAACATGTTATATAATACGAGATGTCAAAATAAAATAATTTTATCTGAATTACAGCATAACACGAGTAAAAACTAGTTAAATCTATAAAAAAAATTTGGCCATTCTCTAATTTTTTTGCCACTTCACTTAACTTAAATTCGGAGTTAATTACTGATTTAATCCCTTCACCCACTCCTTTTAGCTTTTAAGCCTAGGCAGTGGTTGATTCTTTATTTTTATTATTCTTTCTTTGATAAGCTAGGCAAGTGGTTGATACAGATAAATATGAGATGGATGGTTAAAAATAGTAACATTTGAAATAGTGCGTTGATGGACTGAGCTTTCTACATCATTGTATATTTGTGTAGGACCGATTAGACAACATGAATCGATAGAACCCTTTAACATTACGTTTTTATACGCACCGAAGTTTTTCTCAAACTGTCGTTGTGACATGATGTTGACATTAACGATCTCATGTTGAACAACCCTACCCAACTCCACAAGCGAAATTGGGGACTTCATTCTCTGTCCGTACATGCAAAAAATGTCCAAGTAGAGGCCAATGAGAGTTCGCATCTTTGAGGAGGCATGCCTCACATGAATTCTTCGAGTGGGCAGTATAGGACTTTCCACTTCAACTTTCCATCCTTATAATACTCTGCAAGATTCCCTACCATTTCGTCTTAATTATCTTTGAAGTTTGAACAGTGTGCTCCAATGACCGGTCCATTCAATAGCTATTGTCCTTCCTCGTCACATTAATATTGCTGTGCTTCAGATGCCAGAAATGGGCTCAAATTTAGCGGATAAAAGTCGGATTTTCAGATGGCATCGGAAATTTTAACTTAAAAAATTCAAACTCCGATTTTGGTCAATGAGCCACCGTTATTCAACCAAACCTAGCCCATTTCACATGGGCCTGTAGATAATTTCTTCTTGAAACTCTTAAAACACAAGTCCTGTCGGTGCCCCTCTGTACGAGGCCCATTTGGAACTTGGAACTGTCAATTTATTATTTCTAAAAATGTGCACAAATATCTACTGCGCAATTCTTTACTTTTTTTTTTTAAAAAAAAAAAAAAAACCAATGATACTGTAATTTAGAGCCATAAATATATAAGGGCCAAGGTTAATGCAATACTACCATTATCATGGAGCCGAGCTTGACACTTTTATCCTCTGTATCTAGGGTGAAAAGTTATCTTTGTAACTTTTCATCATTTTGACTTGTGTTTGGTATAATTTTAAAGGAGGCCAATTTTTTCAGGAAGTTAGTATTTAATTTAAAAATAGAGGTCAAATATTATTCTCCAACGAAGAAGAAAAGCTTTTCACTAAGATTAAAATTTTGAATATATATTCTCTTTTATAGTTTTGTTTGATGTAAGATTTGATTTGATATACGGTGGTATGTACTCATATTATTATTTTTTTAATTCTTACCAAATATCTTCAACGTAATATTTTCTACTCTAGTTTTTTGTTTGTTAGTATAATTTAATTGAGTTGGAAATACTATCAATCACATGACAGCATAAAAAATTATAAAACAAACATAATATAATTGTAAAAATGAATAAATAAAGAAGATAGAAAATAGTATTTTAACTAAAAAAATCTATAACATCCTTATCAATATAATGTTTTTGTTTTTATTTTTTTTAGGTGTAAGCCTTTAATTAGTTACGTTTTATTTTATAACCTAGCTGTGAGTTATAAAACCAAAATTAGCGTAAACCTTTGCAAGACAGTTCATCATAAAACTTTATATATCCTTAGCACTTCACTCTAGATTTTACCACCTTAACATTTTTGTGCCAAATTTTTAGCCCCATATGCTCTATGCATCCTGAGTTCGGAACCTTAAGGTACTAGAAAAATAAAACTACAAGCATTTTGTCAGTTTTCTCACTTTCTTTCCCGAAAGGTACAATTCAATACATACACCGTTTGTTGTTCCAGTTCTATATCCCTACACAACCACTTGCTTTTTCACTCTTTGTTTTTACTCTTGCTGCTGCTGCTAGCATTGATGCTGTTTTAGTTAGGTGGGTAGATGGGTCTATAATTTTGTAGCTCTCTCTCTCTCTCTCTCTCTCTCTTACCTCTCTTGTTCTTTATCTTCTTCCCCTTTTTCCCCTGCGCTTCTGGCGGATAAACCGGCGAAGTTCTTTTTTTTTTTTTTTCCTTGTAGAATCCAAATCCCGAAGAAAGATAGAAAGAGAAGCAAACCTTTGAAAGGAAAAAGAAAATTCGCTTCTTCCAGGTGTGTAAAACACACGGTTTAATTTGCCTTTTTTTTTTTCTCTGTCGAGTTTACAAAAAAAAAAATGAAACTCTGCTTTCTTTTTTTAAGTCTGTTGCTTATCTGCTATGTAAAAAACACAGTTAATATTCCTAGTAGCCTATTTCACCAACCAAGAAGAGTTCTAGCTTAAATCTCATCATCTATGATGTGTGTGACGTTGATTCAGCAGACACTGTAGTATGAATGCAGTTACTCGGATTTCTCAATTGATGCATGCATTACTTGGTGGATGATGTCTCTTGCATTTCTGTCTTGTGGGTATGGTTATTTTCCTGTTCAATGACATTTCTAAGCAGTTTCCTTTTATGGGTTTATCTGAATGGATCTGTGAAGGTGCTTTAAATGTCTCTCTCTCTCTCTCTCTCTCTCTCTCTCTCTAGATTTTTGGTTTTATTTTCCTGGATTTTCTTTTGAAGAGCAGTTTTTAAGTAACTTGTTGTTTTAACCCAAATTTTCGTCTTTCTTTGTTATTGGCAAAGAAGATTTTGATTCTAATTTCTTCATTTGGTTCCTCCATACTTTTTATTTTTTCACTGTTTCGGCAATTTATTTTTTTCCTCTTTTCTCTTCTCCGATCTCCTTGACTTGCATGCACTCTATATTTTATTTTTCTAATTCTGTAATTTTCAATTTCTTGTTCATCTTTATTGGCATCTCATATAAAGATTACAGCTTTTATTATATATCGGGAAAAGTAGTTATCAAGTATAGATCTTCAACTTCTTCTCATAGTTTTTATCGATTTTTAACCTTTGTACATTTTTCATGCAATTTCTCTTAAAATTTCTGAACGAGACCGCGATCTCTTTTTCATGCTTAAAGACATGGCCTAATTGTTGATTTCTTTGCCCATTTCTCGTATTTCTTTATGTAGAGACAGATTAGTCTAATTATTGGTTTAATTTTATTGAGTCAGATTACATGGAAGATGGAGATGAGTATCGTCGTTGGGATGAATTGATACCAGATGCCCTTGGGCTAATTTTCAGCAATCTTTCTCTCCAAGAGACACTAACCGTGGTCCCAAGGGTTTGCAAATCATGGAGCAGAGCAGTTTCAGGGCCATATTGCTGGCAAGAAATCAACATTGAGGAATGGAGCGCTAGGTGCCATCCTGATCACCTTGATCGCATGCTTCAAATTTTGGTTACGAGAAGCTGTGGATCCCTCCGCAAGCTCTGTGTCTCTGGCCTCCACAATGATACGAATTTCTCATTCCTTGCAGACCAGTAAGCTGAACTTGACAATTTTTATGACACCCATTTCAATTATCAAACTTTTTACAGCGATGTGCAATAGTTAGTCCATAGTCAGTCTCAGTCTTTTATCTTGCATTTATAATTTACCAATGATATTGGGAACTTATCTAATTCTAATGCTTCATAGCTTATCTTTATTCTTAGAACTCCCATTGGTATATCCTAATTGTAGAGATGACTTAATGTGCTTTAAATCACTTTGAGCCAGATTAGCCTCAGTTGTTTTTGATGCTGGTGTTCTTTCATCAGATACTTTGCAATATGGGTCTTATTTTTTTTATTTTTTTTTGTTTTTGCAAGTGCTGGTTCCCTTCAGACATTGCGGATTCCAAGAAGTGATATTAGTGATTCGATAGTTGAACAAATTGCTGGAAGGCTTTCGACTATCACTTTCTTGGATGTGAGCTACTGTACTAAAATTAGTGGACGTGCTTTAGAGGCTATTGGAAAGCATTGCAAATTGCTTGTGGGGCTATGCCGGAACATGCACCCATTAGATACAGAAGGCTTGGAAACCCAAGATGATGAGGCTTATGCCATTGCCACCACGATGCCTAAGCTGAAGCGTTTAGAGATGGCTTACCATCTTGTTAGCACAGAAAGTTTACTGCAGATCCTTTCACGCTGTACCGAGCTTGAGTTTATGGATTTGAGAGGATGTTGGAATGTGAACCTTGATGACAAGTTCCTGAAGGAGAATTTCCCAAAATTGACAGTATTAAGGCCTCTTGTAATGGAGGACTATTATGAGACGAATGATTGGGAAGAAGATTGTTCCGAATATTCGGATGATTCTGATTACTTGGCCTGGGGATTTTTAGCTGGTGATGGGGGAGACTATGACGATGATGATGAGAGTTATGATGAGATGTGGGATGATGAGGGAAGGCTGGAGGAACTTGAGCTGAGGTTCTATGAAGGAGCAGATGCTGGACTGTTCGGTTGGCCTCCATCTCCTTAGGTTCAGTTTCCTCCCTTGTTAAATGGTTCACTTTTCCTGTTTGTAGCTATTAATGCATCTACCTTGGACGCTCTACGTACATGCTGTATGGATATAAATGTTTCAATAGGAATGAAGTTGTATGCTTTATTTCACTCCCTTGTTATCTGAATTTCACTCAAGGAAAAGCGCCATGTATTGCAATGATATTTGCAGACGTGGGAAGCTGAGGAGAGATGGTCTCTCCATTTAGTTAAATTTAACTTTAGAACTAGAAACCAGTTGCCAAATAGGTGGAAATGGTTATCTTTTGAAATATCATTAGTTCGTGTCACAAAAGCTACCAACTGATTTTGGAATAGGTGAAAGTGGCCCCCATTGATCTTTATGGAGGATGATGGCTATTGGCTAGTCCAGGCTGCTTGCCACTTAGCAAGCACATCTTAGGCTCATCCTTTCAACTTCAATCCTGTCGTTAATATTCTTCAATCGTGTGATGCGTTTCCCTCTATTTTTGCAGCAATCACTCTGATACTCGCCTCTGCGAAATGAGCTCTGAGCTTTTTAGCTTTCCTCTTTCATATTCTTATCTAATCCTGGACTTCGTTAGTTTGTTTGTATATTGATTTTTTTTTTTTTTTTTTTTTTTGTAGGCTTCAGAGCTTTTCAAAACATTTCGAGCTGTTCATAATACTAAGATTTTTTTTTTTTTGTGTGTAGGCTAAAGAGCTTTTCAAAACATTTCGAGCTGTTCATAATATTAAGATATATCAGATTCACCATGCAGTTATGGTTAATTATGATTTAATTGAAGGAGCCTTTTTAATTCAAAAGACTATTGTGAAAAAATTGAAATAATTAATACGGAAGATGCCGTCGATGTCCTTATTGATTGGGAAGCATTTATGGCATTCCAATTAAAAGTCCTAAGGTTTCATACATGGGCTCTTTGTCTTGATTAAGTTACAGCACATAGACAGTTCTTTGGAGCTCTCGACTTGTGGATGGACATGAAGCAGTTAGACTTAACAGCAACATGAAAGATGGTGAGATAGAGTTCATTTGGTACATGTGCGGAATTCTAGTACGAAGGAATGTCTTTAATCTTTCAAGAGAGATGTTTGCTTCTTTTTATATGCTTTTTTGTTATAGTAAACTAAATTAATCATGTGTATCTCTAGTTTGGTACAAGTACCTAGCTAGTCACATGATTACATGTGATTCATTTCTTTGGATCTTGTACTTTTTTTTTTTTTCCCTAACTCACGTTCAACAGTAGAACTAATCTACTAGCTAGGTTTTAAACTCGTGATTATTTACAAGAAATCATTATTATTGGGCTACAAAGTCTTTAGTCATTGGATCTTGTACTTCAGGCTGTTTTTCATAAGAAATCATTATTATTGGGCTACAAAGTCTTTGGTCATTGGATCTTGTACTTCAGGCCGTTTCCATCTTGAATCTCTTGAGATGGGAGCTTGAGTTTTGTTTTGTCCCTCTTCGTTTGAGAACGCTCACGGAATTCTCCCTCAAAACTAAGGCTAGAGTTATATGTTTTTAAAAAATAGGAGAGAGAGAAAAAAAAGTAATTTTTGGAGCTAATTATTAATTCTCCCTCAAATTAATTAGTTTTTTTAATAGAAAAATAAAAAATGTTTATAGATATTATGAAAAGATGGATGAAAAAAGAAAACATCTTATGGAATAAAGTTCTGTTGCACTATCATGCACGGTCAATATTAATCAAAAAAATTAAATAATTATTTTTTGAAACAAGAAGTATCAATTAATTTGTTTTTAAAACTAGAGGGACTAATTTATGATTTACTTTTCTTTGGTTGCGAGAAGTTTGGAAGTATTCATCCGAGATCTGAGTCTGAGAGAGGTGATCGCAAATCAAATGAAATATTTTGCATTTGCCATGATCTTTGCTCAAACCCTGCTCCAATATTTAAAGAATTGAACAGGCAATGGACCACATCCTGCTGTCCTTTAATCAAATTCACTTGCATGTATTGGTGCTTTTCAATTTTCAAGAGCAAATTAAAGGAATGCATCGAGAGAGAGAGGAGGGCAAGTAGGCCATCTTGAAATTCTGGGATTCTCATAATGGTTCATGATAAACAGACAGTGGTCCCTTGTTTTTGCATCTACCTCCATCCACACGCCATCCCCTGCAATACTATTACCCCACCAAGTTGAAAGAAGAAAACAAACACATGCACATGCCCCAGGAAGAAGCTTATACTCGATCTATCCATAAATAATTTAACCTGACACAACCCTCTTTAACACTTTTGGTTTTCATGTTTTACAGTAGACAAAATGGGAATCGTGCGCGATATTTTTGTACTGCATGTATAGACAGAGGTCCAGTAATTTCCAACATATTAAACAGTACTGGTCCCGCTTATTAAAAGACAAGATGCAATCATCAAAGAGAAGATTCGCTTGCTTGCCCTCTGTTTTTCGCCGTTTCTCATTTGTTTTCTTCCTTATCTAAGAATATCAATCAAAGAACTCTCTGGGCTCTGGCTGGCTGTAAATTAAACTTGGTTGAAGAAAAAAGTAGGACAGTTAATACAGTACACATTGTTGCTCTTCATGATTTACGCTCAGCTTTACATTCACAATTGTGACAGTCCAGTGATTAGATTTCAAATTTCGAAAACAAAAGCATAAAATTAAATCGTAAATGATATCAGAAGACTTTTTAAATATTAAAAAACTTGATATTCTTTTGATATCTGGAGATAAATATATGTTTGAAACCAACATTTGTTACGAGGATCCACCAGTTTAATGAAATTTTATTTTGCAACTTAAGTCCACGGTATGTTTCATTCGAGTAAACTAAAAAGAAAAAAGAAAGAATTCCTGTTATTAAAAAAAAAAAGAATTTAAATCATTAAATTTTTGGATTCTGTAGCACGCTCAGGTCAAGTGTTGCAAGAGTCCACGTCATATATATATATATATATATATATAAGCTTAAGTTCAACATTGGCTATAAAACGGACAAGAAACCATTTGGTAGCTTAACTTTACCATATTAGCTGTGAAAGAGCACAAAGCAGTGACACCTGAACATGTGCAGCCACACATTAACATTAACATTAACAGAAAAACTAAAAGATTTGGAGGAAATTAACAGTAAATAAATAGTGATTTTTACTGTTTCTTTACTCACATATTATGGTGGATGAGAATGGCAGTGATGTAATTTTTTTTTGCTGTTTTTGGATAATTATTTGCAACTTTTGCACTATATTTTATTTTGATATCTCATATTTAAAAAAAAAAAATCTAGTCCCCGGATTGCTTCCGCACTGCCAAGCCCCAAGCTTGTATTGGGCCTGCAGAAGCCCGGCATGCAAGCCTGCCTCTCTTTTTTCTTTTTTTATCAATTTATATTTTAATTTTTTTATTAATATTAAATTGGATTCAAAAATTATTAAAAATAAATCATTAGTTTTATTTTTCTTACACGAGCTGGCACTAGCGATTATGAAATATATATATATGCCGTATAGTTTTCAAATTTTAGAATTAACAACGAATGAATAGTAATTTTTACTGTTGATTTCCTCAAATATGACTGAATGGAAATGACAGTGATGTAATCTTTTTTCTGTTTTTGGACGATCATTTGCAACTTTTACGTTACATTTCATTTTGGTCCCTCATATTTTTAAAAAAAATTCTCGTCCTCATACTGCTTCTGCACCACCAGAGGCCCAGCTTTCATTGGGCCTACTTCTGCAAGCCCATACTTGCAGGCTTGCCTTGGGCCTGCAGAAGCCAAGCAGGCAAGCCTGCCTCTTTTTTTTTTTTTTTTACTTTTTTCTATGAATTTATGTTTTTTTTTATTATTATTAAATTAGGTCTGAAAATCGTGAAAAATAAATCATTAGCTTTTTTTTTATAGAAGCTAACGCTAGTGATTATAAAATATATGAGATATGGTTTTCAGATTTAAAAAAAAAATATATATATATATATATATATATTGAATAAGTCAATTTTAAACAATATATAAGTAAAAAAAATAATATGATGAGAATTTTTATAAAAAAATAAATTGAATAAGTCAATTTTAAACAATAAGAGTAAGATAATATATATATATATATATATATATATATATATATATATATATATATATATATATATATTTTATTTTTTAATAAATATGATTTATTTTTCTATATATGAACTTTCAAATAAGTTTTTTTTAGCTATTTTTATTTGCTTATTTTTTATATAATAAAATTTTAAAAATAGAATTTATTTTTTTATTTGTTTATTATTTATATAATCAAATTTTATCAAAATTAATTTTGTATTTTTTTTATTGTACTCTATTAACTTCAATATATTTTTTATAACTTAATTTTTTTTTAAATTCAATTTATGCTAGAGATTTTGACGCATTGAATATGATCACGGTGTATAAAAAAAACATTGAAATCATTGATTTTATTAAAAATTAACTATTTATCTATACATATAACGTTGATTATTTGCTATTATTTTTTAATATTTAAAAATTCAACTCTTTTAAATAAAATAATTAAAATAATATTTTATAAGAATTTCTTAATAATTCAAATGTAATCTTTTATACTAATATTATTTATTATTTTTAATATATATTAAATGCATAAATTTTCAAAAAATTAATATTTTGATCAGTATTAAATAAGGATAAAGAAGATTCATTTGTTATTTTTTATACAAGTTTTATATTAATTGTTGTTTTGAACACTCTAGCTCTCATGATTTTAATTTAAAATTTTTATAGTGTGAGAAATTCTTTATTCAAACATATAAAGAAAATTAAAATCAAAACTAGAAAATATCAATTCCTGGTGCATCATCCTAAAAGAGGGGGAAAAAAAAGAAAAAAAGAAAAGAAAGATATCCTCTCTCCCCAGAATGCGTGAGAAAAGAAACAAAAACCTTTGGAAGGTTGATTTACGGTAGTACCACAGCCGATGAAAATAACCTTGTATTTTTAT